CCCCTCCCTCCTGCCATCTTCCAGCAGTGACGTCATGGTGCAGTAAGCCTAGCGCCATTCTCCCAGCTTTACAAGCTAAATCAATGGGAACTACTAGACACATCTGCAATCAACAACAATTATTGAAGATTTCCAGAGGACTTCACCATTGAAATTCACCAGAGCTATAGTGAAACTGACTATGCCCACGTGCATGGCAGCTGGATGTGTAATACATCGGGTAAAAGTGAAAAAACAATGAAATATTTCCCCTTTCAGATTCCTGATCCTCCACGGACGGGTTCGTCGTTGGATCGCCGACTTGAAGAGGGAGGATTTGCCATCGAACTTCTGGCCAGAGAAAAAACCCGTAATATGTAGCCAACATTTGGAAGAAGAATGTTTTCAAGATGACTTGGATAATAGCGCGTTGTGACAAACACCAGATACAGCACTGGGACTTGATCAACAGCCGATACCGCACCGTGACATCACAAACCAGTAGGTGGCAGTAGTGTTCTTTGACAAACATGGATGCCTCCAGTAAAACACATTTAATTGCAATTACTCTTAATATAAAAAAAACGTATAATTTATTGAAAAGTATGTAATAATTTTATAATTAAAGTACTTTCAGAAGTTTGAATTTTGAATATTTCCGGACTTCTCCTTTAAAACAAGTGAAAACGTGTCTACATGCGCAGGGCTGATCTTCATACGAGGTGCAAAGTCTGCAATGGCAGCTGCAAACCTTTTGTTTTTCGTTCATGAAGCTATAAATCTTATTCTAACGGCCAAAACGTGCGAATGTTTGGATGGAGGATGTAGAACTGAGGTAGAACTTCTACCTCTAGTCAAGGAGGAACAAATAGGAATGGTCTTTAGACCGCAGCAGCATCACGTACATACGGGTTTTTCCTTTAAGGGATTAGGGTGGAGAAGCAGACTTCTCAAGACGGCATTTTCACTTGATCTCTGCATTGAATTATCAGGTTTTTGGTTAATAATTATAATATATATATATATATATATATATATATATATATATATATATATATATATATATCTCCCAACATCAGCATTTTAGGAATGAAATTTAGTGAAAAGAAAAAGCAGCTGAAGGCAGAAAACTCTGAAAATGTGTCAAACAACTTCTACTTATTTCAGGATTACCAAAAAAAATTAAATAAATAAATAAACATGTTTGAGATTTTTGGTGGACAGGTAAGAATTTACCTCACCAGAAAGTTTAAACACACTGTCCGGCGAATTACACACACAACTCACTCTGCAGCTTGTATGAAGATCTGCTCTGCAGGTGCAAACAATCGCATTTGTTTGAATACAGGGCAACCTTTTGAAGATCAGGCCCATAATCTAACTCTGAAAACAACGTCCTTCAGCGGACCTGTAGTTAGTAAACAGTATGTGTGTAATTTAAACTCAGTATAAACCCAGCTGTTTTGTGAAGGTTTCAGAGATCAATACAGAAATATCATCATGAAGACTTGAAATAAACCAGGGTCGGTTTAGAAAACAACACCCACTGCACACCAACCAGAACCCACTATCCTTATAATGAAACAGGGTGTTGGCAGCATCATGCTATGGGGATACTTTCCTTATTAGTGTCAGGATAATCTTTAGGTTTCCTGCAGAATACTGATCCTACAAAGAGCAAAAGCTGCACTGGAACCGTTTAGATTAAAGAACATTAATCTGTCAATATCGCCCAGTCAAATTCTAGAACCAAATCTCTAGCAGAACTTCAATATTGTCACCAGACATTTGCAGTATATAAGAAGAGCTGTGCTGGAAAGAACAAGAACTTCAGTATATAGATGTGCAAACCCCTATAGGACTCGTTGCATAAAGTATTACAGACTAACATCTCCAATACAGGTCTGTCTTTTTTCACATTAAGACAGCTGTGTCTTATTTTTAAAGGTACACTATGCAACCGGTGTTGATTTTCCAGCGAGGCTCCCCCCAGAGGGCCAAAGTAAAAGTGCACTGTCGTAAATATGCTCAGCTGTTCTCCTGGTTTCTCCGTCAAGCCAGGCGCGGTTGTTTTGAGCTTAGCAGACAGGCGAACACAACGAATCACCATGTCTACTGCGGTACGTGGCTATTTTGTTCCGATTTTCGAGTTTGAAAATTCTCGCTGGTTCCGCCATGATAACTGCACAAATATCGCCACTGCGCTAGCAACGAGCATCCCTTTCACTGGGGGCGTGTAGCAGTTCTCGCCGTAAAGCAAGACCGACTCTCGCGATGCGGGCCGAGGGCTTTTGCAATTGCAAGTACGGTATTTCCCCTACAGACCACCAGGGCGGCTGAGAAAACCTTTGTTCGACCTGAAATGACTCATTTAATCATCTAAAACGTTATGGAACACATTAATTAACTGAAAAATGTTGCATAGTATGCCTTTAAATCTTCGATGTGAAATCACAATAAAATAGATGGAGGCTTGGGGTTTTCATTAGAAACTGTTAAAAGGATATGAATACTTTTACAAGGCAGAACAATGTTCTTTTCTGCAAACAATACATCATTCCTGCGTGCCTAAATATTGTAAAACCACTTCAAAGGTAGATTCACATCAGGACAGGTGGCTATTAAGCCTCAAACCATGATCCCATCTCCAGCTATTTCTAATTAGGACTCTGATGACAATGTACCAAAAGAGAACGAGGGAGAAAGAGCCGGATGATTGTCTGTGGTTTGGAGGCTCAGGGTCACATACCAGCGACTTGTTACGTAAAACGACTTCTTGGCTTCAATAAGCCCAGATGAATTTTAAGCAAGACTAAAAAAAACGCAATGGTGAAAGAAAGAAAAGGGTCAACAAGGATCTATTTTCACTGCAGTGGATATTTATCCACAAAAAAGCAGCATTCTGCATGTGGATCAATTCTAATTCTTTTTTTTTTTTTACTAAAAACCTCAAAAGGTTAGGTAAAAAAAAGAAAAAAGAAAAACTTTTCCATCCTTTACCTTTATTTTAGCAAACTCAACATAAAAGCATGTTGCTGATTGCTGCCTTTGAAGAATGAAAATTATAGGACCTCTTAGTTTTCACACATTTAATAAAAAAGGGGTAAAAATTGGCCGGCATTTAAATAATCAGTTGTGACCTCAGAGAAAACTCAAAATCAGAACCAGTCAGGAAACCTTGATGAAAATTTCTGGGTAATTTGCAAGAAGTCAGACTGTTTTAAACTGGGTAATTTTAAGCCTTAAAATAAATATATAAAAAGAAAAGGTTTGCAGGTGATAAAATGTGAAGATTTCTTTGCTTTGCAGGGATTTCAGCAGTTAAACTACCGCTGAGACAGAGAGCAGAGGAAACACCCAAGAAAATGGGATGTTCATAGCTGTAAATGTTCCAGCTTAACGATCAAAACAACGACTGGATCATTTCTTTAAAATATCTACTCTCCTTAGGATACAGTATCAAAAAAGTAAAGCAGTCAGCTTCATTTCAGGCCAATTGGATTTAAAACTTATGGAAGATTAATGCAGCATAGATCTGCAGTTTAATCAGCCCTTTAGACTTTGCAGCTTTAAGCCATTACAACCCAGAAGATGAGACATATGTAGACGGCACAGGTAGAGGTTCTCCTAAAGGGTACGAACCCGCAGTATAATCAAAGTCTCTGCCAAATTACAGGCTATAACCGCCGCTGAGCAACAGTTCAATCAAGGGCTAGCAAAGAGTTCACCCATTATACTAAAATTCTTAAATCACAGAGCAAATTCCAATGTAAAACGTCAACATGAGACAGCAGAGGGAGGCTCTACTCATTCAGGGCGCTCTAAGTTACTGTGTAGAAAAGAGCTCCTTTGTTTACTGCCCTGAAAAAGCTTTCAGGGGAGAAATAATGATAGCTCTCAGTCAGCTCACTGCATATTTGAGATGTGTGGCTTAAATAGAAACGTTAAGTGGATGAAAACAAAGGCGGGGAGGCCTGAAAAATTATTGATTATTCAAAGAATAATCTGGATCTAGGAGTGTGTCATCAAGTCAAAGAACTAATAAAAAAAACAGTGGAAGCCAACAGATTTATGTCTAAAGTTACGGAAGAGGATTAGGGCCACTGAAAAAAAAATAATAAAAATTTTACTGATTTTTACATTTTATTTCAGTTTAATATGGGAAAAAAGTCAGAATTCTGACTTTAATCTCAGAATTCTGACTTTTTTTCCTCAGAATTCTGACTTTTTTTCCTCAGAATTCTGACTTTTTTTTTCTCAGACTTTTTTTCTCAGAATTCTGGCTTTTTTTCTCAGAATTCTGCCTTTTTTTCTCAGAATTTTTTTCTCAAAATTCTGACTTTTTTCTCAAAATTCTGACTTTTTTCTCAAAATTCTGACTTTTTTCTCAAAATTCTGACTTTTTTTTCTCAGAATTTTTTTCTCAGAATTCTGACTTTTTTTCTCAGAATTTTTTTCTCAGAATTCTGGCTTTAATCTCAGAATTCTGGCTTTAATCTCAGAATTCTGACTTTTTTCTCAAAATTCTGACTTTAATCTCAGAATTCTGACAGATAACAAACATGTTAGCATCAAGCCATAGCCATGTCTGTTTTAGAGACTAGCTCTCTTGTTTTAATGACTTTCTGCTCCTCTATTAATGAGGGGACCCCTCGGCCACGTAAAAAGTTGTCTAATTCCATCATTTTCCACAAATGTGTCACTGGCCCTCTCAAACAACTCACATCTTTGTCAGTGAAGCTGAGTGCTCCACATCTCTTCCTTCATGGTGCCCATCTACATTAAGATCCAAAATTCTGAGATTAAAGTCAGAATTCTGACAAAAAAAGTGAGAATTCTGACTTTTTTTACCATGTTAAACTGAAATAAAAATCAGTTAACTTTTTTTTTTCAGTGGCCCTAATCCTCTTCCGTACTAAAGCAGAGTAATGGCGGCAGGATAAGACAATATTTTCTAACAGTCAGTTTTAAAAAAATGCTTAAAATGATACTGTGGCCTAAAAGAAATGAGGCTAACTGACCTGGTTAATGGAATTGGCAGCACAGGATGCCAGGCCTGTTCCCAGAGAGGAAACAACAAACAGCAGAGGATCAAAGGGGACGGGAGCCATTGCAAAGCCGGCTGCTGCAGTTGTTACCACCAGAGCTGAAAAAAATATAAAAAATATATAAGAAACATTAACAGTCATAACCGATTATGCATATACACACCAGGAACCTGGAAACTTACTGAATCACAAAAAAAAAACATTAAAAAAAAAAACATCAGGAACTATATTTATCAAACAAAATACTGAGCAAGTAAAATTTGTGTCTTGTTTCTTGTTTCCCTTTCCCAATGGAAAAAGTAATGAATTCCTCTTTTAAAGATTTTTGAAGCATTATAAAAAGAAAATCATGAGACTAGAAAAAAAAAAGTTGTGTATGCAAACATAGTTTTCTCTACCTATCAACTACTCTAATGTCCTGTCATCACAGTGATGTAGAAGGCACTCTACCTGTGAGCTTGATTTTAGCCAGTCTAGCGTAGACATCCGGTAAATCTGCAACATCAACTCTCAGCGGCTTCCACTGTCGGTCCATTCTGGCTTGCCTCGCCTCTTCCGTCTCGACGTGAACGTGTGGCGGCTCATCTTTGTTTGTGACAAGATGAGACGCAGAACCTTCCAGGGGTGCCCCACTCTGTGCAGCAGGCTTGATGGAGGCGTTTTTAGGTTGTGTTTCGTGGTTTACATCCTCCGACAGTGGCACAACGTCTGCAAGCTCTGAATCAATAGCCAGTATTCTCTCCTCCTGCCTTTCGACGGCGGCATGTCTTTCTTCGACGATGTTCAGGTCATGTTTGGGGATTGCACGCTGGTGAAGCTCGCTGCTGTTTTTGGTAACGTACTATGAAAACAAAATTTGGAAAAGAAGCCAAAAACAGGAAAATATGAATCATAAAAGGAAAACAAGAAGGAACAAAAGATTCCTAATTAAGTTTTTTTACCCTTAATATGAGTAGGTAAATAGATCATTTGCCAATGGAATGAGTATTTTTACTCTTAAAATAAGATAATTAGATAATATGCACTTGAAATAAGACAAAGCAATTGTTTTTTCTTATTTAAAATGTAAATCATCTTGTTCCATTGGCAATTACTCACTTTCCTCCTCAATTCAAGAAAAAAAATGCACTTATTTTAAGAAAAAATGATTTTAACTTTTTGCAGAGCAGTGAAGGTACCTGTCGTTTCAGAAAGTTTAGATGTTGATATGTCAGCCAGTTTGATGGATCTCTTCTGTGCAGGTAAATAAGGCTTCGGGCAGTTTGGTTACATCGAGGAGCGATTTGAACCAATTTCTGTTTCACTCTCAAACCAAGAAAACCTGCAAACAAAAAATGAAAGCGCATGAAATCACTTTAAAAAGTACATTTTATTTTACAGGCAGGGGGGGAAAAAAGGACTGTGCTGTAAGTCGACACATTACAACCTTGAGCATAATTTTCAAAACACACCGATTTCATGACTTTCTCCACTGAATAGCAAGGAAGGTTTTTGAGATTTTTCTGACAGGCTTTGTAAAACAGCACAAGAGAAATGCGAAAACAACAATAACCCTCTCTACTTTTAAACATGGCTGATGAGAATCACAATCAGAAATACTTTAATAATCCCAGAGGGGAATTAGTTTTGTTACACGCTCCAGATACAGTTTTATATGATATATACACACATCCAACTATACAATATAATAAAGATAAAAAAAAGATTAAAAAGAGATAAAATATATACACATATAGCTCTTCTGTAATATATATATATATATATATATATATGTGTGTGTACGTATATCGTGCAAAAATAGTGCATAAATGTTAATTACGGGGGGGTGGGGGTCTGAATCACTTGAGGGAGGCGTTATAGAGGTTGATGACCACAGGTAGGAATGATTTCCTGTGGCGCTCTGTGGTGCATCTGGGTAGGAGGAGTCTTCTACTGAAGGAACTCATCACTGTGACAGTTATCAGTAATGCGCCAGTAAAACCTCAGTGTTTTCTGGTCTTTTTTGATCTTTTTTCCAGTTTGAGCTATCGCTTAAGTTCAGTCGCTGAAATGAAGTTGGCTTTTCTAAAACAATTGATGTTTAAATATTATTTCATTTAATATGAGGAAAGTCAGGATTCTGAGATGGAAAAGTCAGAATTGTGATATTAAAAAGTCAGACTTCTGACTTTTTTCCCATATGCAGAAGCAAGAGATCACAGCTTGCATGTAGTGTTTTTCTCCCAGAAAACTCCTGGATCAGCTTTTCTGATGGGCTGATGCTTCGCATCAAGAATGAAAGGATTCAGATTTCCAAACCCCAGCATCGAACGCTCAGATTCTCCAACGATAGAACACCGGAATATTCTGATGTTCTGAGGCCCCAATGCTCTGACCGCCGCAGGGCATCTCGACCTGCTTGATGCAGCCCTCCATAGAATTGGCATCTAAATCTGATTTAGATGCAAAGTCTATGGAGGGCGGCATCATGCTGGTCAAGAGGCCCTGCGGCGGTCCGAGCTTCAGCATTTGAACCGAGGCTGCAGACCTCTGAAGATGAGCTACAGTAATTATTAATGTTATACCTGCAGTAGAGTCAAATCAAATTCTCCCATTCTGAAGCTTAACTTTGATTCCAGCAAAGATTCACTGAACAACAAATAACAGTCTTGAATGAGTCAAATATGAGTATTTTGATTTTATCTGAATGTATTATGCGTTTAACTTCCACCAAGCAGTTTGATAGGTTCATTGTCTCAGCTGGAGAGCAGGCCCCGTCCCTGGGAGAGGGAGGGATGACTGCCCAGAGGGAAGTGGGCTGGTGCTGAGGAACACAAAATTATTTTTTCGATCACAGGGATCGTAATGAACAGATTAGCTATATTTTAGTTAACTCATCCACATTCTCACCTCAAAAAGGTCCTAAAATATTATTTTGGGTCGTTGAAAATGATCATTTAACGTTTTTTTATAATTTTGTTACTGCGTCCACCATCCCTGGCCGAGCTTGACCGATCTGCCACAACCCGCACTGAATCATGGGAAATGGTAGCCCATGAAGGATACTCCTGATGTATCCTTCAAATCTGCATAAATGAAAGACGCATTGGTCGATTAGAAACACTTTCTGCGCAGCCCTGACAAAATCAGTCGACAGATGTGGCCTAAGAGGATGCAGCCCTTAAAGTTCCAGCACTGTTTTTTTTTTGGCAGTTGGCAAACACCTAAAGCTGCATTACCACCAGCTAGTATGGGCTATGAAACTACAAAACTAAATTCTATGTAGTTTCTTTTAGGGATGCACGATATTGGGATTTTGGCCGATATCCGATATGCCGATATTTTAAAACTCATGTAGGCGATAACCGATATCGATACCGATGTTAAAGGAATAGTACACCCAAAACATGATTAGCCTTCATTTTCTACTCACCCCCATGCTGAACAAAACTCTGGAGTACTTTTTTGATATCTCAAATGCATCTGGAGATCTGGGAGGCTTCTTGCTGTCTGCTGACATTCAAATAATGGAGGTCTATGGCGCCCGAGACAGAAAGGTCCACAAAAGTCCACAAAAACGTCTCAATATTCCTCCATACTGCTCGTCCATTGTAATCCAAGTGTCCTGAGTGGGTAACATCCAGAATTTACTCGAAACGAAGTCATTTAGAACGTTTTAGAGCCTAAACAGTAGTGTATAGGATTTCCTAATAGCGCCCCCATGCGCGCTCACGATTCTACGGAAGCCGGCAGACCAAACCGGAAGAGAGTGCGCATTCAGCGTCTCCTCTGCCGATAATGCAAGCGTAGAAGAAGAAATGTGCTGTTTACCTGTGCAAAGAAAGAAACAACGAAAGAAAAATGTCTGAGGACTTCAGTGTTGAGGAAGAGCATGAGTTCTTTGCCGAGCTGAATGCGCTGGTTTGGTCTGCCGGCTTCCGTAGAATCGTGAGCGCGCATGGGGGCGCTATTAGGAAATCCTATACACTACTGTTTAGGCTCTAAAACGTTCTAAATGACTTCGTTTCGAGTAAATTCTGGATGCTACCCACTCAGGACACTTGGATTACAATGGACGAGCAGTATGGAGGAATATTGACACGTTTTTGTGGACCTTTCTGTCTCGGGCGCCATAGACCTCCATTATTTGAATGTCAGCAGACAGCAAGAAGCCTCCCAGATCTCCAGATGCATTTGAGATATCAAAAAAGTACTCCAGAGTGTTGTTCAGCATGGGGGTGAGTAGAAAATGAAGGCTAATCATGTTTTGGGTGTACTATTCCTTTAAAGCTGGACAAAAATAAGTAGTCATTGAAAATAGCAGTTTTGTTATCCATTTCTGACACTTTGAAAAATAATATACTCAAATATATTTTCATATGCTGATATCAAATAGATTTTTAAAAACGCGGTATCGATCTATTTTACTTTCAGAATCTCGTGAAATTTCATCGTTCTGTTACAAACTCTCGTGATATTTTGCAAATTCTTGTGAGATTTTGTTAGTAAAATAGATCGATACCGCATCAATATATCAACATATAAAAATATGGCAAAATTTTGTGAATTTTCGGGGGATTTCGTAGCATAACGATGACATATAGCAATATTTCATTAGTAAAAGAGATTGATATGGTGTTTTTAAATGGCAATATATCAGCATATGAAGATATTGTGATATTTTAATGTATCAATATTTTTTCCCTCGTCTTTAGAAGTTTTTAAGTCTGTAAAAAAGAAGTTTTTGAGGAAGAAGAAGTAGTATTTTTTTTTTTTTTTTTTTTTAGACTTTAGAAACTCAGAAGCTGATCAAATATCGGGTTAAATATCGGTGGGGTGGCCGATGTCCGATATTCAGTTTTAAGGCCGATACAGGCCGATACCGATAGGGGGCCGATTATATCGTGCATCCCTAGTTTCTTTACTTGTTACTATAAAAGCTATTTCTCTTAACATCCTTACAAGTTTTCCCTTCCACCTATCCCATTATCTCTTTGCACTGGTTTGGCAGGCAGCCAAAGAAAAAAAAAAGGCAACAAAAGGATTCGGAGCTCCTTCTACAGCTGGATGACAATGACATATGGAAATTAGGCAAGAGAGCATCAAGCCAGAAGGAATGCTGACAGCTAGAGTTGGCAATAACCTTAGCAACACCGCTAACAGGGTTCAAAAGTTTAAATAAGATTGGATCCAACTCATCTCTTGGCTTGAGCTTCAGGACAACCTTATGTTTTGTACATATTGAAAAAGACATAATCAGGCAGTTCATTCTGAGTTTGTGACTGAAACCCCCATTTGAAAAAAAGACAGCCAATCAAAACACCAATTATTACCCCAGTTTATTTTAATAAAAAAATAATACTAATAACTGGCGCCCCTACATGTTTTCTGTATTCCTATTAAAATATTAAAAAGCCAAGCATGCTGCCCCCTGTAATGTAATATATAATTCTGAATTTTATTTACTAAGCCGTGAACTATAGATGCTTTTTATTTTGTTTAGCTTTTTTCATTACCCTTCTCTCAACTTGACATTTTGTCCTGCTTCTATTTTAAATATATAAAAACAAAGCTTCATTCCTTAAAGTAGTTTGTAGTAGTTTAAATTAATCATTAAAGTAGTTTGGCAATTATTATGATTTCAGATCCCCTTGAATAAATTGTACAAACGGGGGATAATGAAAATGCTCCCAACAGAAAACCTGTTTTTAATGCATATATAAATAACTTGTAGATATTTTATATCACTCTCTATATCTAATCCCTAATTAGGGCAGCTGTCACACCCTGAGTCGCACTGTGGCATATGAAATATGATAGATAATGACACCTAGCCAAACCTAAAATAACCTCAGCAGCACATTTATGGTAGATAATATGTCTAACTGTAATTTATACACTTTTCCTTTGAGTAAACCATGTGCAGGTCTAAAATCATTAAATTAATAATTAAATCATGAATCATTAAATTAATCAAAACTTTGTTCTTTTTTAAGTAGATGTACATATTTTCTTTTATGTGTTTTTGATGTTCTTTTATTGAGAGATTGTGTGAATCTGTGAAAGGATCATTTGGGTCACGAGTTGACCCACATAAAATAGTTACTACTGTTTAATTATAAAAGTTTTATGACAATAACAACAATCCTAAAATCCAAATCTGTGTTTATTTGTGTGGATCTCTACAAGACTAAATGATCTTTGTGTAGTTATTATCTGGTTATAGCATTTTTGTTATTGCACCTCAGCCAAAGTAGCAGGTATGCTAACCTGTGTTACACCCAAAACTCTTTAGATATTTAGCATTAGCTGTAGAAGCACGGTGGTAGAGTTGAGTGGAAAAACAAAAAAACTAAACAATTTTACATAAATAGATGTCTGGCAGCCCCACAAACACACTTGCAGTCTCTATTCAAAGCTAACTCCCAACCGGGAAGCTACATGCTGAGCTAGCTTTAGCATTAGCTTCTGGGCTGCTACTGACCGACATTAAGTCATTATGTGTATAAAGTTAACCCGCTTGCTGGCGGAACATGCAACCTTTCCTCTGCTCTTACCTGTCAGTCTGCAACATGGTGATTTATACATGTCGAAGGAACATAGAACTGGCTTCTGGAACGACCCTTTTACAGGCAGCGGGCAGCCATCTTGACCTCCTTGCGTAAATAGAAGCACTTCCGGTATACACAGAGGTGACGACTTCCGGAATGCGATGGCAAGAAAACAAAAGACAAAACCCAGCTCTTCTTCTTCTTCTTCTTCTTCTTCTTCTTCTTATGAGATTTTATGGCGGTTGGCATACTTGTGAAATGTGCATTACCGCCACCAACTGATATGGAGTAAAGCAAGAAAACAGGAAACGATTCACCCCCCCCCCCCCCCCCCCCCCAAAAAAAAAAAAAAAAAAACCTGTGTAACTTAAACCAACATAATACTAAATCACATTTGCCCATATCATTTTAATTTAACTCTAGGTCATCGTAACTCTGCCAGTTTCTGATGGTCCCATCGGTCCTCCCATCATGCTTCCAACCATCTCCCAGTTCAAATCTTTTACGTCTAGATATTTTTCTGCAGCCTTCACTATTATTTTGATTTTTTCAGTTTTTTTTTGTTGTCTGTGCAGTACAATTAATCACTTCCACCATGAAAAGAACAAAATTTGTCTTTTTAACAATTAGTGAGTCTTCATCAATTTTTGGAGATTTCTCTAGAGGTCTGAAATTTGCCGTGTGTTGAACTGTAGGTTTGGGTTTTTCTGACTGAGATGGGATCCTTTTTGCAGCTTCAGCATAGGTTATTCCGAGCTCAAATTTCATTTTTTTTATTTCCTCAGACCTTTTGCTTGCTTCACAGCCGCGATAGGCAGCAGTATGTTCTCCACCACAATTACAGCATTTTATTTTAGCTTCTTTTCCACATTTACCATATTCGTGTTCTCCTGCACACCTTCCACATCTCTGTTTCCCTTTACAAACTGCTGCAATGTGACCGAATTTTTGGCATTTGAAACATCTCAATGGTGGAGGATTGTAGATTTTAACATTATAGCTGATGTAACCGATGAATACTTTGCTTGGTAATTGCTCTTCTTCGAATTTAATTAATACCGATAAACTGTCAGATCTTTCTCCGTTTCTTGTTGATTTTAACCGTTTTACTTCTTTTACTTTTGCACCGCTTATGTTTTCCAGAATCTCTTTTTCAGAAATTTTTAGAGGAACTCCTCCAATGACTCCCCTGCTGATCTTTTTGTTCTCCATTAGGCTGCACTGAACTCTTATCCCGTCAATTTTGTTGATTCGTATTGCTTTGCCTTGCTGGGCGCTGTCTCTGCAGTTAATTAGCAGGTCTCCACTGTACAGAATTCTGGCACCTCTGACTTCTCCAACAAGTTTATTGATGGTTTTTGTTAAGTGAACCGGATTCCAGTTTGTAAAAGAGTCTGCCTGATTAACGACTTTGAATATGACTTTGAATTCATTTTGTTGTGCTGTGGAATGTATGGATTGATCATCACTGGATTGTTCTGAACTAGATTCCCCTTTAACTGATCTCTGTTTTTTCCGCTTTTTCTCATTTTTTGATGTTGCTATCTTCCAACCTTCATTGTCACTATTTCCCTCTTCCATCCCACAAGAATCGCTTCCTGTTTCCTCACTACTCACGGCCCAGGACATCTCTCCACAAGCAGCTTCAAAACACGCGCCATGCACCAAACGACCATCGAAGTGCTAGAACTAGCCCCAATCCAAAACCCAGCTCAGCACAACAATTAAGTTTAGTACGGAAGAGGATTAGGGCCACTGAAAAAAAACAAAAAAAACAAAGTTAACTGATTTTTAAATTTTATTTCAGTTTAACATGGGAAAAAAGTCAGAATTCTGGCTTTAATCTCAGAATGCTGACTGAATTCTGACAATAAAAAAGTCAGAATTCTGGCTTTAATCTCAGAATGCTGACTGAATTCTGACAATAAAAAAGTCAGAATTCTGGCTTTAATCTCAGAATGCTGACTGAATTCTGACAATAACAAAGGCAGAATTCTGAGAAAAAAAACTCAGAATTCTGACATTAAAGTCAGAATTCTGACTTTAATGTCAGAATTCTGAGAAAAAATTCAGAATTCTGACTTTAATCTCAGAATTCTGAGAAAAAAGTCACAATTCTGAGATTAAATTCAGAATTCTGAAATTAAAGTCAGAATTCTGAGATTAAAGTCAGAATTCTGAGAAAAAAGTCAGAATTCTGACATTAAAGTCAGAATTCTGACATTAAAGTCAGAATTCTGACATTAAAGTCAGAATTCTGACTTTTTTCCCATACTATACTGAAATAAAATTTCCAGTGGCCCTAATCCTCTTCCGTAGTTTAGAGATAAAAGTTGGAATAAAGAAGATGTTTTTGTAATACAGAGTTATCGCCCAAATTTATTGACTGACACCCACGAGAAAAAAGCTGCCCAACATGGGGATCGAACCCACAACCCTGAGATTTGTCTCATGCTCCGTAGAACTCATACAACTGAAAGATTAAGAAAGAGAAAGGAGCGAGATAGGAGGGAAAAGAAGGGAAAAGCAAAATGAGAAAATCTCCGGTTCGAATCCCGCCAGGGATATGCATCAGTTCATGCAAACTTTATCAAAGTATCAAATTTACCTTTTCAAATTAAATCTGCCCACAGCCTGGATCATTTTAAATCGCTTCTTAAAACTAATTTTTATTCTTTGGCATTTACTTGAAGTGTTTTGATAATCTGTTTTTATTAATTAGTACTATTGATTGTCCTGTACAGCACTTTGGTGCAGTTTTATACCTGTTTTTAAAGTGCTATATAAATAAATTTAACATTGACAAGTGCTCTAAATATATCAAATATGGCTTGAAAACTACAATACAATTACTTACAAATACAACTGGTAAGTATGATAAGGCCTTTTTTGCTATAAGAGCAATACAGAGAAGAATATTATACCACCACACATCTAATACTGCATATAGTATATTATTATTATTATTATTATTATTATTATTATTATTATTATTATTATTATTATTATTATTATTATTATTATTATTATTATTATTATTATTATTATTATTATTATTGTATTCATTATTTTATATATATATATTTTTATTAGACGTTTTATTTAAAAAAACAATTACTTATCACTACCAGCAATACCATTATGTCCTATTCTTGTAAGTTAATGTATTATTTTAATAATATTGATTAAAAATAATAATAATTCTGCTAATATTATACATTCTACTACTACTTATAAAAATAAGACATATTTATATCAATTAAATGTTTCTAAGAAAATACTTCACAATCTGTTGATTTATCAGCAATACCATCTTTTCCCTTTCTTGGAAATTTCATATTTGTATGAGTTAAAGGTAGGTTTGGTAGGAAAAATATCAAAGGATACGGCTGTAGAGCTAATGTTCTGTATTTGTATTTACAAACACACAAAGTATTTACAAACAAAAAAAGTTAATTTCCTACTCTACAATTACAGACAATATTATTGCAAACACAATTTATAAATAAACTAAAAAGTGAATGAAAAGATAATGAAAAGTTACCACCTGATTTCCTGTGTTTTTGGGGCCCCTGTGAATATCGCACAGTTGAAAAATGATTGACTCTACCAGATATCAACTGTCTGGTAACTGGGCAGAGAGATGTTTGTTTAAAATGCACCATGTTTATGTGATCAGCAATATTACTTAAGAAAAAAAAAATCAATTTAAGAATTTTCACCCAAGTTTCTGGGGCCCCCATAAAACTCTTTCTACATATATGGTTAATACAACTATTCCTTTTTTTGCACATTATTATGTTTTTGATAAAAATCCTTTGGCTAAAATGCCATCAGAACACTTATAATATTAAGTGTGTCTCAGCCCCCCCCCCCCTTCAGTGTCCACCATATTGGATCAGTCTATTTGCTGCACATGTTCAGAAAGGTCCAAACAGACAGCAGCAAACCATTTGAAAACAGACAATGCAAAGAGCAGTGTTGCTAACTTAACGCTTTAGTCGTGAAAAGCGGCTAGTTCCAAATCTAGGGACTTTTTCTGCTACTGGAGACTTTGGTACCAACATCTAAAAGCAGCGAACTCTGCTCTCCAGAGCGAGTAGATTGGTAACCCAGCCTCCTGCTCTCCTCTATCTTGTCTGCTGTCATGATTCATGCAGCTATTATTTCATCCAAATGAAAAATGGAGAACAGATAAGCAGATCATGGCTTGACTACAGTGAAAAGAAGGACTGGGTTATTTACTTTGGCCTTTTTGGAAACACAGGAAGGAGCAATCAGCTAAGTGAGCTTAGTGCTTGGAAAAAATCTTTCATTCCTTTAGAGACAGCATGAAAAGTCAGCTGAGTACAAAAAATAGAGAGGAAAACAAGAAGAGAGGGACAAGAAGAGAGGGACAAAACCTAGAACAAATAATTTATGTCTCTTCTATCAAAATTTCTGTATCTGTATAATGGGTTTGTGTTATGTGTTGTCTTCTCATCTCAGAGGGCCCCCTGCCTGTCTTTGCCTAGGGCCCCAAATTTCCTAAATCCTCCCCTGCGGGTAGGTGATGTTGTGCTAGATGATGGACTGAATGTGTCTTTGCTTCACCCAAGTTTGGCTTTATACCTGCACGATGGGACCCACCATATAAACTGACAGACAAAAAATAATATGAGAAGCATTTTAAACTGTTATAACATGATAACTGAAATATCTGATAGATATAAACAGAATTACACTCAGAATTAGGTTTAAAAATATTAGCTTTTTTGCATACACAATTTGCCACACATATTAGCATCTCTAATAAGAAAAAGCCTCCATCCTGTTTTCGCAAAAGCTGTATTTGATTTCTTTATGTAAAACTTAGAAATAGAAAAAAACTGTGGTTCTTTAGAAAACATAGAAGACATTCATTATATTTTTGTTTACAAATTACATGACTATTTTTAGCAGGTCCTGTTGTCATTCAGAGACATTTGTGTCATTTGTGTTTTTTTTTTTATTAATTTAATTATTTTCTTGATGCCAAAAAGAGCCCAAAAGATTTTACTTTCACACATGGAGCAGTACGGATATCGCCGTAGTGTTTCGCTTGATTTATGCAGATCAATTGCTTTAATATAATTCATGCAGGAAGTATTTCAGATTATA